TTACACCCCTCTTCTCCTTCGCCAACAAGTTTCTTTTATCCCGCTCTCTTTGTAACATCATCAGGCGTCTGGATGAAGATCGGAAACATAGGGAAACTCAACCCAAAAACCAAACAAGGCATCTAGGTGCTTCGTGACTCATCCCTCTCCATTTTTGTCTATGTTTCCCCCGGATGTTGCACCACCTCAACAAGAAAACTTTCTCTTAACCAGTGACACCCTTCGTGAACTTTCTAAGGGGTAGAATCTCTCCATGGAAGCAAAGAAACCGCAAGACTAGTTAATCAGCAGACCAAGAAGTTTGAAGTATCAAGAAAACCTTAGAAGACCGGGAGATGAAGATCTCCAAAAGTCAAGTATTGACTCGAAGGCACAACAATGACTTTTGTGACTTTGGCTCGATGGGACTCATGCTGTATGAATAGCGAAATCCTACAGAGGATCCCACATGGTCTTACATGGCATTAACATGGCAAACAATGAACGTTGAGTAAAGTCAACAAAAGCCCAAGTAACTTGCCATGATCAACAAGTCAAAGGAGAAGAGGAAATAAAAATATAAAGTCAAACAAAGAAATAAGAAGCAAAGACACCCAAGTTTAGAATGAGCCCATGAGTCCAAAATCTCACCATAGTGGAGGGACTGAGATGGGTGGCTCACTATGGACTAGACTCATCCCCTCTCCTAATCCACCATGGATCAAATATTACCACTCCAAACCTTCCCACCTACCATCTCAAGGGTGCCCAAGATCATTTTTCAAGGACCCGTAGCCTATATAAAGCCTCTTTTTTGATGAAAAAGCAACATAGTGTTGATTTTCATTAATGCAGAAGGTGTGAAGTACATAATAACGCAACCAAGGTATCAAAAGGAAACAAAAGCTAGTGTGGCACCGGGAACCATACCATATAGACCAATTCAATACAAGAGATCAAGGCAGGTCAAAAAATGCTACCATTGGTGCAAGCCCTGCCTGTCTCAACGTCCTCGCGCTCGTCGATGATTTTGCCATGAACCTACAGTGCCGAGTTAGCATCATTATTGAAAATACATGAATTCATGTCATTTTATAGGCACTAAGACACGATAAAGCATGTCTCCTTCCATGTAGATCTTATTGCACGAGGCATGACCCTCGTTTGCCGCCTAAAGCATTCTGTAAGTTACAATTAACCGGCATGCTCATCCCAGCATTGGGCGCTCCTAAAGAGGACGATGCCCTCCCCCAGACCTTCATGGAAAAAGGATAAATCACAATCAAATGACGCACCATCTCCAGTGTCACAAGTCACAAAGGGCCATAGGGTCATGCGTGATCTTCCACTTTGCTAGGTTATCCATCGCGAGATCTTTCCCTGAGGCAGCTGCCAAGCAAAGCACTTCGCCTTCGGGGAGGCCTTGGCACTCTAAAAAACCGCCTTCAAGTTGGATTGAAGGCTCCCATGAAACTGCATATTATACATTGTAGTCGTCAAGTAGTCGGCCGAAGCCGCCCACTTCCATGCAATCGTGTCTGGTGTGTCCTGCTGCAGCACAACGACAATGGAAGCCTCCTAGAGCTAGCATAACTCATGAAGCACCATGGGTGTCGGGTTCTCTTTGACATACTTCATCCATTGGTTTCTCTGGGTTGCATCGTGGAAGCAAACCCTTCACCCATTACAATGTGTGTACATGTTTGGCCACCGTCTGCCGGCCAACATCCCTTAGCCCTGTGAGAGCACCAAAAAGATGTCTTGCATCCATATCCAATGGAGATCATCGTGGAGGCATGAAGCCCCCCTTGGCATGTGGGTCATTGGGCAGTAGTAGGTCCTTCCATGTCCGATCATCATCCATCCATCATAGCCATAGCCAGGGAGTGCGTACCCCACTGCCTTGTCTCTGTAGATCATGTATGCCCAGACCACCGAAGTCCCTCAGCCTACAAACGTTGTGCCACCGCACTAGGCATCTACCTACCGATGAGAACTCGTCTGCCGCCCACAACCATGCCCGATGAGTTTATCCAACATCTTCAAGAACCACAACGGAGGAGCAATCGCCATCAGCCGGTAGATCACCATTTATTACAAAGCCTCTCATGAGCATGCACGTCATTTCACTCTCTCTTAGTTAGAATCAAGGGGAGGGCAGTAGAGCTTCAAGCCTCATTCGATGTGCTCTTGGGTTGTATCCGAGGAGCCTAATTTGACATATGTTGAGGAAGAGAAGTTTGTAGAGGGTACCGAGGGACTCGTTTCACTCGGGCATATGACCAAACCTCCATTGACACCTTCTAACGTAGGACTAGGTCACGCTTCGTCGAGGTGACTAAACCTGTTCAGAAAACATCGAGGTGTGAAACTTGTCCATGTACGACGCCCTTCGTTGTGAGGTCGTTGTTTAAATATTTTGTGTGTTTGTCTCACTAACGACATCCACGACAATCTCAATCACGACAACATTGCTAAAACCACTCCCTAATCATCCACTATTTTTAGTATAATAACAATGAGGTCAATTCACAAAAAACAACAACAATGAGGTCGATTAATTAGAAGGTCATATGGTTCGAGCCTTACCATCTATTCATTAATTTTTGTGTTAAGGTCGGGTGGTCACCTTTGCAAAAAAATATCTGATTGTCACAAAACACATTAAAATGGTCACAACACAAGATCAACTATAGTACAATATGCTCATTGCATAATGCATCCTTACCAACACTCCCTAACACACTTTCCTTTTTTTTACTGGAATCTTATCTGCTCGACGCTCCCGGGGAGGCCAACCCGAGCGAACGCACCCATCACTGTCGCACGGATCTCGCGCAGGAGCAAGGCCACGTCGGATGGCTGGAAGCATCCGTTGTCTGCCGATCCCCGGCTAACGCTCGTGTTCCTTTTTTTTCTCCAAAAAATCATCACACGCGCGACAGTGGCCTTTTGCCATTGGGCTGGAGAGGTGGGTCGTGAACATTTGTGTTAAAACATATTTTTATATATAACTTGGCATTTTTGAAGCTTTTTTGTTTTGTAGTTCGTTAGAATATCCCATTTTTGTTAACTTTCTCACAAGGAAATTTTATTATAAGAGGATGCCATTTCTTCTTATAAGAGGCATACCATTTTTATTATAATAATATGTCATTTTCATTATAAGAGGATGGCATTTTTTATTATAAGACGATGTCGTTTTTATTATTAGAGGATGGCTGTTTTATTTTATAAGAGCATGTCTTATAACAGGATGTCATTTTTATTGCTGTGAGAATGGCATTTTTATTACTTAAGAGGATGACATTTTTATTATTAGAGCGTGGCAGCTTTATTTTTAAGAGCATGTCATTTTTTATAGTAGGATCTCATTTTTATTGTTGGGAGAATGAAAATTTTATTACTTAAGGTGATGGCATTTTTTGTTTAAAAGATAAGAGGATGGCATTTTTGTTACGAGAGGATGGTATTTTTATTGTTAGATGATGGCAGTTTTATTTATAAGAACATGCCATTTTTTATTTTATAATAGGATGAGCATTTTTTTTATTTTAAGAGGGACGGCATTTTTAATATTGAGAGGTGGCATTTTTACTGCCACTTTTTTCGCACACAAGTTTTTTGGGTGTTGATTAGGACATGGCAACTTTTGTGGCATTTTTTAAATATTTATATTTTATTTTTATTTTCACAGCATGGATGTTTTTGTATTAGTACTTTCCATACGATGGCGCTCATGATTTCATGCTTTTCTCTGTTTTTAATAAGAAAATATGTATTTTTTCATGTCATTTAAAAGTAGCAAAACTGGGCTTCTAGCCCAATGGGGGTTTGCCACAGGGCCTCCTCCTGGCGATCAATCGAGGGCTGGTCGAATCATTCGCTGGGAGCTGCTCCCTTGGCGAACGAAAATGTTCAATGGGAGCAGCTCCCTAGGGAACGATGGCCAATTATTGGCGTTCTTTTTGTAACACATGTGTGTTAAAATTTTCTTTGTGTATAGATGGTAAGATTTTTTTTGAATAGATGGAACATTTTATTGTTTCGAACTCGTGTGTTAAGATTTCCTTCAAAAAAGAAACGTGTTTTTTGTGTGAATAGATGGTAAGATTTTTTTGTGTATGGTTTGCCGTTTTTTTTTCTTTTGCAACTGTGACCATCCGATCTTGTGTTAAGAAAAACTTCCAAAAAAAAAGAGAACATGTGTTAAGATTTCCTTTGGCTTAATGCATCCATTGAGGCATTGACCCTTCAAAGTAGAAGAATAAACTGTGTATGTATAGAAAAAGTGTGGTATTTAATTTGACAGTAGGCAGCTATAGTACAGTATGCTCAGTGGAGTAGTCGGATACTCGGATCTCCGTTTCCTAGCCAAAATTTCACCCAGAAACTAGCTAGAGAGGGGCACATGAAAGAAAGAGAACTGCCACTACTCTAAATCAGATAACAAATATAACAAGATCAACTAAAAAGCAAGCTAGCTAGCTAACTATATGTACACATACTTAGGGACTGCTGGACTGGATGCAAAGCTTGTAGGGTCACCGGTAGTTAGTTCAACTTTGAGCTAAGTGCTGATATATGGTCACCAAAAAATTTCACCCATTCCGGACGGTGCCTTAGTTGTGTTTTTTCGGGTGAGGCTTGGGTGGTTCTCCACGGCGAGCAAACACGGCCACCTTATCAGACTCAGCACCAAGGCTCCCCCGGTTGCCGAAGCTTGGTTCAGCAGATCCCTTAGGTGTCTCCTCCACTCCGACGTTTTCAACTTTCTTCGTCTTCCCGGCATCGAGCTTCATGTTACTCCCTTGCTGTAATCCTTTCTTTTCAGACGAGGAATCACCGGTTGGCATGGACGACAGGTCCTTCACTGCGAGAAGCAATATATGAGCAGCTGGTGAGATCAACAATACTACTAATTGTGACAATGTCAAAAACGCTCTTATATTATGGGACGGAGGGAGTAATACAAACTTGAGATGAATAATGAAAATAAGGAAATCTTGGCGGGGAGTAATACAAACTTGAGATGAACGATTCAAATAAGAAGAGAAAAATGAGACTCACCATGGCGGGCATGAGCAAGGGGATGGCCAAGGGCGAGCAGGGAGATGACCAGGGCAACTGCAAGAAGAACTCGGACAGTAGTCATGGTGAACTCCAATTAACTGTCGACGGCCGGTAAATCTTGGCGGGCTGGTGAAGGGGTGATGGCAAGGAGAGTGAAGAGAGGAGGAAGGCCGAGGCTTGTTGGGCTCTTATAGAAGAATGCTTGTTAGTTTAAACACTGGTAGTCAGATACAGATCGATGACTAGCTGCTAGCTGGGTGGTCAAAGCTCAGATTTCTTACAAACTGTTATATACAAGTACAGAACATCTGCCGCGGCGTTGTTTAACAAACCCTACGAGTGTAAGCTTTCTCTCTGTTACTAGTGCAGCTGCTCAGAGGGCCACGCAGCTGATGCATCACGTGTGGCTTCTGACCGTGGGGGTGTGCCAAGCAGTGGCTGCCTTTGGGGATCCGAGCTCCCTGCAGTTAAATTGCAAAAAAAGAGCTCCTTGTTGGACTCCCGACACATCGGCGCCACAGGCGAGAGAAGGTACGACTGTGCGTGCCACGGCGCCAGTTTTTTAAACCCAGTTTCACATCGCTTTGATCTATCTCCGTTCCAGAATAGATGACCCAACTTTATACTAAAATTAGTACAAAGTTGGGTTATCTATTTTAGAACGGAAGGAGTACCTATCTCCCGGTCCCGCGCCGCACATAAGACCAAGATCCTTTGTTCCTAGGCAACTTGCGACCCTCGAGTGAGTTTTAAAGGTTAAGCATTGAGGAATCCAACCAACCTTCAAAACAAAAGAGTTTTAAAAACTATGCAGTTCAGGAATCTGACAGAAGCCGGTTCCCGAATTCCAACGAATAAACCACTGCAGCTGTGAAAGGTGGCGGTGGGTCATTTTTAGTACGTAGTAGAGTGAATTCCATTTTTTACCCTCAGAATTCACATTTATACTCAATTTAGGCATGTTTGTGACACATTTTTACCCCATTTTATTTTTTTAGCCGCCATAAAATCCTACGACCTCTCTCGACCGATGAGAAAATCCACATAAATTTAGAGAAGATCAGGTGTGCCACGTCGATCCATACCCATCGGCTCCGAGCTCCCCTTCCTGGCAGTGCGACGCTCGGTGAGCGCGCACCCTCGACAACCATGGCGGCCAAGCGCATGCACTCATCCAGGCAGGCACTACATGGCCACACGGCTACCACTGACGCTCCATTGATCTAGGCGTCAGGCGCATCTGCAAGCCGGGCATGTGGTCATCCTCTACAATGGTAAAAGGTTGATTATCCATGGTGTGTGTGATGCTTGTTGTTCAATTTACGGGCCCATACATTGATCCAAATACTTACTTGGGTAAGCATTTATTGTCGTGTGAATCTATGACCTCCATGTGGTAGGTCTTGATATTAACGAGGAGCAAAGATAATACATGGAGCATGAGAGAAGCCATGATGCCTAAAGCGCTGGTCCGGTCTAAGGACCTTAATTATTGAGCTATCTTGCGTTCTTTTGGTGGAACATAAATTCACGGCGAGGGTAGTGTTAGATAACCGCCACTGCCCTGGGCCATCCCCACACTCCCATTCTTCTCACTTTCCATGTTTTAGACATTGCCAGATCCCCCCTGCAAATCATTCACCCCTGCCCATGTTCATGACCAATTTCCTCGCTACTTGGCACTTTCCCTTATCAACACTCGAGCCATCACCATTGTTTCCTTAAAAAATCACCAATGTTTCCTTCCTTAGGTTTTGGAGGACTCTAGGCTATGCCATCAATGTCATCATCCTCATCAAGCCCCGCATCACCTGAGCACCTCTTCCTTGGCACTGCACCAGGGCCAAGTCGGCCTCTTCCACGGTAGCATCTGATGGCTTTATTTTAGACCCATATTTAAAGTTCATTTGTTGCATAATAACTTCATATATCATGTCCAATTCGGCCAACTGCATGTCCATTGTGCATGATTTTCAACTTATGAAAACAATCTTAACTTTAACAATAACAATGTATTTGGTACGAAATATACAGAATTATGATTCGAATGCTATTGATTTGGGTAATATTTTTTGTATAAACATGGTCGAAGTTTACAAGGTTTGACTTGACACAATATAATATGCGAAGTAGATAAAAACAGAGGGAGTACATCGTGATTTTTTTATACACAATTAACATTTTTTATATATGTTTTTGACATATACATTTTTCGTATACATTTTATATATTTTTAAATACTTTACTAACATACTAAAAAATATTTGATTTTATGTCTACTTTTTTATCATACATGTTCTACATTTTACGTATATAGATGAAATATTATTTTTATAAGTGTTTAACATTTTTCAAATACATGATTAACATTTTTTAAATCTAAATGTTTTTATGTTTACTTTTTTTCATATAAATTGATTTTTCGTATACATGTGGAATAATTTTATCATTGTTTATCATTTTTCAAATATAATTATTAATCTGTTTTTCCAATAGATGTTTTCATGTCTACTTTTTTTTCTTACACATTGTACATTTTTTATATCAATCTGACATGTACTCTGTATTCAATTAACATATTTTTACAAACGCCTATATTTCATCTTATTTTTCTAATATGTGTTGAAACATTTTTTTCAAATGCAATCAACTTATTTTTAAAGTTGCACAAACATTTTTTAAAACTGTAGGAACTTTTTTTAAAATTATGTAATTGTTTGAGTAATATATGTATTTTAGTTATTTTTGGAAAATATGAACAAAGGTAAAAAAAAGGAAAAGATAAAATGAGATAAAAAATGGAATAGGATAAAGAAACGAACAAACCTTCATTTGGGCCGGCCCACCAGAAGCATTCCTTCCGGCAGCACTGTCTTTGGTCTTACTATAAGCGATGTATAGCCACGACCTACAACTCCAGCTCCCATGCTTCAGCCAGTTAAGAGCATCTCCACTAGTCCCCCCAAGAAGCCTTTCCCAGGCATTTTTTCACCGTTGGCGAGTAAAATTCCTCCCACTCGTCACCCCAAGAGCCCAGTTTTCGCCTGATTCGAGGAAAAATACGGCCGGCGCGACCAGGCGAAACCCAGCCCCCCGGGAGGCAGCTAGGGACGCTGACACTCTTATTTTGCATGCAAATGGTCCACTTTCAGTGTCTCAACCCTCTCTCTCTCCTCTCTCTCTCCCTCTCTTTTCTGCAGGCCCACCCACGTGCTCACACTCCCCCATCCCCCACCCACTAAAGCAGGCGCGCATGGGACAGGATGGGCGCGACGAGCAGGGCGCTGGAGCTGGGGCACGGGGGGCGTCACGGCGGGCAGGCGCCGGAGCTCGCGGGGAGGACGCCGGAGCAGGGAGGCGGGGGGCTCGCAGGGAGGGCGCCGGAGCAGGGAGGCGGGGAGCTCGTCCATGGCGTCCTGTTCTCGACGAGCCCAAGCTGCGTCGCGGGCCTCCCCTGCAGTGCTCCTCCTCCACGCGCCGCCTCGTCCTTGGCTCCAGCACCGGCAGGCCGCGCTGGGTCCGGCCCCGTTCGCTGTCCGCCGTAGCCGAAGCTGGGCACGCCGAGACCTCACGGGACACCGGGGTGCGCGTGGTCCACGACGCCCTGTCCACGGCGCCGGCGGCAGGGGCGACGGTGCTGACGACATCGCTGGGCCGGTGCACCATGGACATGGACAATGAGCGGTCGCGCTGGAACAGCGCCGGGCCGCGGCGGGAGACGGCATCGGAGCCGGCCAGGCACAGGAACGGGCGCTCCTCCTCGCCTTGACCTTGACCTCCTTGTCGATGCGGAGACGGATGACGACCCCTCCTCCTTCCAACGGCTGCACGTCGGACGGCACCGGCAGGTACCTGCCACCGGCGCCCATGGCCGCCTCCAGTGGTGTAGCTGTAGGGTGGCCAGGGTGGTCCATGGACCACCCTGGAATTCAGCCCATTAGTATACTACTTAGTCTGTAAAAAAAGAAAAAAGAAAAACAAGCCCAACTCAGCCCATGTACACGTGAAGGATTGGCTCGTTAGTCTCTGTGTCTGTGCTGATTGATCGACACGAGAAGACGTTCCTAGTTCTCAAAAAAAAAGAAGACGTTCCTGATTCCCGCCGCCTCTTTCAGTTCGGGAACCCTAGGAGCGAGCGGCCATCGCCATCAGCCATCGCCTAGCGGCCCCCAGCGGGCATCCGCCGGCCTACATGGCACTCGTCGACGGCGACGGACTGGCCGCCGGGCGAAGGACACTTGCCGGCGGCGGCAAACAGGCAGCCGGCGAAGCACACACAATCTAGTTTGGTTGAGAACCAGTTGTTCAGTTTTCCATCCTACTACTCCGATCTAAAGTAAGATTTTTATTCTCTGTTAATTCATAAATTCAAAGTATAAATTTCTTGCTACGAAGATTTGAACAAGCTAAGCTGAGACCTGAGAGTGCAAGATTTAGTTTTATTTTTTACAATTAATAATTGATAAATACTAGAGTAGAACTTTCATGGTCTTGAGAAGGCGTTATCCCGACAAATAAGACGTGTTATCTTCTTTTATGCAAATTTAAGACATAACCATGAATTTTATATTATTTGAAAGACCTAGTTGATATATTCTGTTTCTGTATGCATATGTTGGTTTGTTGAATTTGTGGTGCAATTATTTTTTTTGGCAATTGGACCACCCTGGCATAAAATCCTAGCTACGCCACTGGCCGCCTCCTCGGAGGGCACCACGCAACTCTCCACCTTGGCGTCCACAGACAAGGAGAGGTCGGCCCTCGCCAGCACACGCGAGGACGGCCTCCCCGACCTCAGGAACACCGCCAGCCCCGCCGACGACGGGCACGGCCTCCACCGAAGCTCGAATGCGACCTTGCCAGGCGCAGCAACGACCCCGCCGTTGCCTGTCAGATGGAAGCGCATGTACGCGGCCTAGATGGCGTGGGCGCGGGCGGCGCGGACAGGGTGGCCGCCGTGGGAACCAGCCGGGGTGGCCTCCGCCTGCTCGGGACGGCGCGACGTGGTCGTGGCCGGGGCGGCGAGGCGTGGGCGCGGGACGGGGTGGCCGCCGTAGGAGCTCCTCCCAGCTGTTGTTGGGT